GTCAGTGGTTCTCTGCATGACGTCTTCTACAATCTACCTGTCTCTTCCTCTCTTCTCTTCCACATGATTAACTCTTCTTTCATTTCATGGGTCGATAAATTTGGTGCATGAGTACAAAGATCAATGCGTTATTTTGCCGTCCTCTGTAGAGCCAGGATTAGCATATAATCTTGCCCGTGTGGTTTTATGAAGCTTTAAGTTTAAATAAACATATATTTTTATTATAAACAACTGAACATCCATAATTGCCATGGAATTGCCATTTTGAGGTAAATTTGTAGTTTATTTGTAGTTCATTTTTGCTGGAAGGACCTTAAAATATTTAAATTCTATATGAAAAATGATCACTGCACACATCCGGTTGAAGCCCTTTCTGAAATTAGTCTGTTGCTGCCTTTCAGGTCCCCAAGCTGACGACAATGTCCCTAGGCGCTCTGGCCACCGCATAGTGGCGCCCCCCGGTGGCCGCTCCAACATCACCAGCCTTGGCTGAGCTATGGTCCTGTGGGGGGGGAGGGGTTGACCTTCGATTGACAGATCAGTGAGGAGAGTTGTGGGGTTCCTTTCTGTCTCAGTGTCCTGTTTTGTTTCGCCGGCCAACTTTCCCAGTGTATGGAAAAAAAAAAGTATCCTTCCATCCAGCTGACAGGATGCGGTGATTGTAGTGTTATGTTAATTTTGTTTTTCGGGGATTTAACACGATCACATGTCTGTCCTAAAACCAATGCAAGCATGGTGCTTCAATGGCCTCGCCCCCCCATTAGTGAACACAAACTAAAGTATATCAGTATTGTTTTGTAAATGGACATGGTATTGTTGCACATCCTGAGTCTGATTGAATAGTTGGTTAGTTGCATGTAGATACACATATTTGACGTCGATAAGTATTATTTGAATTTTACGTTGTCAGTACACGCCAGAGTTGATCACTTGCTTCCCACTGTGCAGCAGTGAACTTAAACGGGTTTACATTCACAAAATATAATGAGGGTCAGGAGACATCTGCAGACGGACCATGGCTGAGATCCCCGTCGAGTCAGGTAGCAAAAATCACCAACTGTGACAGCAGCCCAGCAGCAGTGGCCAACATCATGCTGGGTCCTCGTTTAGGGTGGCCAGCAACATGCCTATCTGACCGCCTATGCGATGAAGAAGCACACTTCCCCAGCCCTCACCATGGGAAAGTCATACGAGGGGGGGACACCTTACAGTTTCACTTTCCTTAAAAGTGCTTTGAAAACTCTCCACTGACCTATTTCTAACTTTTTTATTTGCAGGTTTACTTTATATACAGACTCATACCTAACAGCCTTGTTTTATTTCGTAGCTGTGTCGTGTCTTAAGAATGAAATCTTCCATCATTGTGAAATAAAGCAGTGGAAACTTTAAACAACGGAGAAAGTTGAGCAGCTTGTCAGTTTCTGGTGTATGTGCTGCTGCCACATAGTGGACAAGATGGAAGGTGCAGTTCTCTCACTGACCAAGCAAGTGCCACCTTGTTCTAACTTCTTCCGATGTTCCTTCACAATTTCAGGCATGATATACAGAAATAGTTTTATGTCATTGTTTGCTAATTTCAATAATTTATATATATATATATAATATATATATATATATATATATACACATACACACACACACAC